CCATGGCAATTTCTGTTCTATTTACATGGTCCTCGTTGTATCCAAATCCCACCCATTTTTCCAGACCCAGACCTGACAAGGTACTTCATCATCCATTCTTGATGAGAAAACATTAGCCATTCTTGATGAGAAAGCATTAGCCATCCTTGATCTCTTTTCTATTGAACATTTTTGTGTTTGAGCATCTTCAGTATTAAGTAATTTAGATCTGAATTCTATATCACTTCCATAGTAAAAGCTAGCATTGTACAGATCATGGCACTTTAAAAATAAAGTTCTTGAGACTGGGTACCATGTAGCTCCTGTGGTTTCCCTAGGAGAATTCTAAGCACACAGGAGATGTCTCAGGTATACATTTTTTTTTTTTGAGAGAGAGAGAGAGAGAGAGAGAGAAAGAGAGAGAGAATTTCAATATTTATTTATTTTTTTAGTTATTGGTGGACACAATATCTTTTGTATGGGTGCTGAGGATTGAACCCGGGCCGCACGCATGCCAGGCCAGCGCGCTACTGCTTGAGCCTCATCCTCAGCCCAAAAGTATACATTTTTTTAGGTTGCAAACAAGAAAAAACAAACAAACCATTTTTTAAAAGAAGGATCATTTGTTGGTTCACATAAATGTAAATGCAGAGGGAGAGCCAGCCTCATCACAGTGGCTCTCACCTGGCTCTCTAAGGATTTCTAGGTCTTTCGAGTCCTCTGTGAGTTGGCTTTAATTTCAGGTGGGTTGCCTCACTGATTTTAGGCATTATGTCTACTGTAATACACATTGTTCAAAAACTGAGAATAACTGAGGGGGCAGGGTTAGGTCACATTATCACAGCACACCAGTATCTGTGGCCAAGAATTGAAAGTACTGATTGGCTGATATTTGTCTCCTTGGAGTTGAATGTGGAAAGGCTTCCTCTAACCACATATGTCTACATAAATCAGAATATGGGAGGGCACAGGGGGCTTTAGATAGATAATGCCCACTCTGATAGAAATTCTGAAAATAATGGCTGCTTGAAATACCTGAAAAATTGACTAGTGCCATCCGTTAATTCTTATATGTGGTCATGAAATTCAACCCAAAATATGCTATTTGCATCATTAAAGGAGAGCCTAAAGTACTGAAACCTTTCATATATCAAATGAATTGTCTGACTAATACAGTTTCAAAATATTTGCTATCACAGCAGTTTTAGAATGACTGCCATAACAACACTTACTTGATAATCAATTAACTACTTTAGAGAATAACCACACTAATATGTTGCACATTAAATTTTCATGACTTGTAAGCTTTTATAAACTGCAACTTGCCATTTATTGAGAAGCATTTCCATGTATGGGATTGTTCCAAAGTGATAATCTGCCAGAAACTCATCTTAAAGATTTAATAAATACATTTTATTTTTAAAAGTATCACAAAATAATTGTCAAAATATGATGCAAATTAGGAAAGTAGTTTAAATTTTATGCAATTCTAGTATTTTCAAATTCCTGTGCTAATGTCTTATATAAGCTTTAATAATTGTTGCTGAGTTAAAAAATATATTGCTAAAGGATAAATGCCAGAAAAAACTCATGTTCAATTTTTGTTTTCTAATTTGTATCACTTCAACATATTGCCTTATTAAAACAGCCTGGCGGGCTGGGGATGTGGCTCAAGCAGTAGTGCGCTTGCCTGGCATGCATGCGGCCTGGGTTCAATCCTCAGCACCACATACAAATAAAGATGTTGTGTCCGCCGAAAACTAAAAAAATAAATATTAAAAAATTCTCTCTCTCTCTCTCTCTTAAAAAAAAAAAAAAAAAAACAGCCTGGCATGGTGGTGCACACCTGTAATCTCAGCAGCTTGGGAGCCTGAGGCAGGAGGATCACAAATTTGAGGTCAACTTCACCAACTTAGCAAGACCCTAAACAACTTAAGATATCCTGTCGCTAAATAAAATATAAAAGGACTGGGGATGTTGTTCAGTGGTTAAGCACCCCTGGTTTCAATGCCCGGTACTACACACACACACACACACACACACACACACTCACATACACACACACACATCCCAGATTAATGCATATATTATCACAGAAGAATATTGTATTTGGGGGTTACATCTGTATCTTTGCAAGTGATCACAATATTAAGAGATATTTTGATTGGGATGAGATATAAAACTCAGAAACTTTTACTAAAAAATGCCTTTTAAGAATGTTGTCTTTCAGAGGCAATGAAGAGACTTTTGAAGCAATAGGATCATAAGCTGAAGGCCAGCATCAGCAAAGTAGTGAAACCTTGTCTCCAAAGAAAAGGCTGGGGTTGTAGGCTAAGCGGTAAAACACCCAGTGTGTGGCGGAGGGAACACAACCTCCCAAGAGCACCTTTAAAAATCTTTCAACTGAAAAAAGTGAAGTTCTACTTTATTCAACTTCTATGCTGTTAGTTCCTTCTGTCTTCCCCCCCCAATTATAACTATACTGGACATTCCATATTTGATAAGCCCTAATTCTCAGTTCAAATCACACACACACACACACACACACACACACGTATAAATATGTATTTCTTTTTTTTTTTTCTCCTAGCCAAGTCTTGAAGGATATGGGATGGAAAACAAAAAGAGGTCAAGAGCCAGGGACACACACCTCCTCTTGGCAGAGTGTGTAATGAGACAGGATGTCCTGGAAGAAGGTCCAGTCCCTAAGGCACAGCAAAGCAATTGCCCCAAGAGTTCTTCTTCTAGATTATAGAGGGATTTTGGACAACAAGTTCCTCTTTTATAATTAAAAAAAAAAACCTCCAATTAATGTACAGCAAATCAGTCTTAACTAAGGAATATGGAGGGAAATTTGCAGTCCCATTACAAGTCCCAGAAAACATTCAAGGATTAAGGTGCTTAGTTTTGGGGGAACCCAGTAGAGAAAAACAACAAGTAAGGAGAAGTAATAAGAAAGAGGAAAAAAGTAGCAGTAGCCAAGGGAGAGAAATCAGCGTGCACCGAGTGACTAATCATAAATACTATTCAGTTAAGAAAATGGAAGGGCTCTGACTTTCACAGGGTATAGCCCCAAATATGCTCCAGCTGAGAGTGAGGTTGTCATCATTTGAGCTGCTGTACTGTTGAGAAGTGATTTGGGTGTAGACAGTAAGTCCCTTGTCAACCTGATGCTGTTTGTAACCTTTAAGGGACACATTTCCCCACAGCTTGTTCTAAGGAGAGTGATTTAGAAACAGCTGTGCCCTCTTCAGGCCTTGGGATGAAAGGGTCTGATAGCAGGTTCCATCAATCTGCCTGAATGCAGGGAAGTGCTTGGGTCTGGGAAAGAGGAAAGAAAGCAGGAAGAAGGGGTATTTTTGAAGTGTATGTGTGGGAGGAATAAAAAATCTAGAATCCTGGTTGTGGTGGTAAAGATAACAAGGGGAAATGGAGACAGTAGTTGAGGGTAAATAAGAGGTTGAAGCAAGAGAGCTACTATAGAGAGAACCTGGCTGAAGAAGATTAGCACTTCATGAGAGAGGGCTTTGTCCGAATCCCACACAAGCCAAGAGGAGGGAAAGCTGCACAGAATTGAATGGAGGGAAAGCAAAGGGAAAGGAGAACAAAAGGTTTCTGCAGATGGGTCTCTGCTCTGAGAGAGGGGGGGGAGCTGTCTGGCCTCAGCCCTGGGTAGCGCTTCACACCTAAGAAGTGGAAAGGAAGTGAAGCTTCTGAGAATTGAAACTAAAATTTCACAAACATGGAGCCAGTGCAGCTGAACATAGAAATATATTCTAATACTTAAGCACAGAGCAACTAGAAAATGCAGCTTCTGAAACCTGGAAAGCAGAAAAACCTGGTCTTAATAGGAATCAAAAGCTGGATACAGGAATAAAATTTATTTTAGACCTAGGTCCTGGATTTAGGATTTTTAAGTGGGTGAAAATAGAAGGGGCCTTCTGGGCAGGATTACCATCAGAATAAGGTTTTACAAAACTGCATATGAAAGACATTTACAGGATGACAGATTGGACATTCTAACACCTAGTGTATGTCAAATACTGAATCTTCCCAACTGCAGGGAATAGGCAGGACACTGCCCTGATAGTTGCTAGTTTTCCAAACGAGGAAAGGGAAATTGCAGGGTCACAGAGCACAGAGCTAATAAAGCAACGTAGATGATTTTCTTTGGAATTATGAATACTTTTGTTCAAGTCCCTGCTATATTAGTTACTGGCCCTGTCACTTTGAACAAATTGCTTAACCTCTCTGTGCTTTAGTTTCATTAGCTCTAAAATGGGTAGCATGAGATTTTATTGGATTGTTATGAAGACTGAAAAAAACTAATGCATATAAAACTTGGTTCTATGCCCAGCAAATGACAGGTTAAGTGATCTAAAGAACAGGATGATGCTACTGTCATTACTGTAGGAATAGTGTTGAAAATGTAGCATCAGACCAGGATGGGGAGCTTCACACTCCTGCTTCAGGCTCTTTCTACCAAACCATGAGGCTAAACATAAGACCTGGATTGGAAATTTTTCATGGAAGTGATTTCATGGAAGTGATTGAAAGATGAGAGAGTGTCAGGACCTGAAAAGAAATATGAGAAGTTGTTTTTCTTTTTGGAAAGATGTGGGAAAGTTTTCAAGGGGTGGGGGCAAGGGTGATAGAAATAGTGTGATTTGCAGATTTAAATATTTGCCAGTGTCTGAAGTGAGCTTGATCACTATTTATTTTCAGGTATATGTTAAATCTGGCATATAATTGTAATAAATTATTCAACCTATTTTATGTTTCTGTTTATTAAGACAAGTGAAAACTCGTGCATTTGTGAGTGTTGGTGGGGATATGTGTAAAATGCATTATAATTATTACAACTAGACAAAGAAATTTTCCCATTTGACACATTTTTAAGAGCAAAGCAATCGAAAGACGATTACTATTTAAAATGTTATTGCAAGGTAAAGGAGATTTCAACATCCGAACATCTGTGTGCTTATTAGAAAGTTAACAACACTCATTTTGTTTTCACACACCTGTGGTTTCTATCATTCTTTTGGTTCTTCTCAGCTTTTTTGACAATCTTCATCTTTTCTAGCATCGTGAATCCAAGCATCCCAAATTCATCTTTTTCATTATATCTGTAGTAAGATGTGAAAGATATAAAAGAAAAGATAACCACTGAAATCTCTGGCATTTGAGATTATATAAATACAGTTGAAAACTCACAGTCCAAACTGTGACTCATCAGTGTACACAATACCATCCATATTACTAGTTTCACTGGAATTTACTAAAGATGTTTAGGAAATGCTCATTAGGTTGAGTTATGTTATACACACAAACACAACCTCATGTGTGTTAAAATGAGTAAAGGGAAACTTGATATGTTTTGGTTCCTGAAGAAATGCTAAGAATGAATTTTCCAATGTAAAATTAAGAGAAAGGGAGAAAAGGGGCCCCTTTAATTGAAAGGAGAGTGGGCCAAGGAGGACAGATGGTAAAAACAGTGGAAGATGCTTTCTTCTCAAAAACTAGTGTCTCAAAAACTTGGAAACTTTGGAGCTGGGGTTGTTGCTCAGTGGTAGAGCACTTGCTTATCACATGTGAGACACCTGGTTTGAACCTCAGCACCACATAAAAATAAATAAATAAAATAAAGGTATTACATCCATCTACAACTAAAAAAAAAAAAACTTAAAAAATTTTAAAAACTTGAAAACTTTGAACCTATAGAGATTTTGAACCTATAGTGATTTTGAACCTATAGTGATTTTTCTCTTAAAAGTAGATGACCTTAATATAAATAATCCACAAATCAGAAGTCTTGCTCATTCTTCTCTATTCCAGGGAACAGTGTTAAGAAACAGCTGTGCTGTGAAACATGAAGATTAAAAGCTCATCTAGAAAGGAGGGAAGTTAACTACTTTAAAGAATGAAATAAACCTAAATGGTTGCTGAAGTGACTCCTAGAATGCACTGATTTTTAAAAACTCCTCTTGATATATAAATTGTATTAGAAATAACAAAATGAGATAAATACCTGTAAGTCAAGGTTCAGGTGACATGGGGATAAAGAGTGCAGTTAAGGACACAGAGAGCCTCCTCAAGTCCTGGAGCACTTATGGTGATCAGTCAATAGGACTAAAACTGACACAGGGGAAGAGAAATTCTGACTAAGAGGAAGTTCTTCAGAACCTTATTCAAGAGCAAGAAAAAGGTGGGAGGGGAAAAGGTGTTCATGCCACATCAAAGTCTGCAGAAGCAGCACAGGTCAGGAAGTAGGTTTTTGATGGGATTGATGGCGGGGGTGGTGCTTTCTGGTGTTATTTTCTGGTGTTTTCCAAAGTTAACATTTTGGATTCTATGCACTAAGTACAAGTACTAATGGAGAATTCAGTTTCTGGTGGTAGATAAATGGGAAAAGGTGAAATGATTGACATAGTCATTGATAAAGAAAATGGTACTTCTAAAAAGAATACAGAGAATATAAAAGGTGGGTGTCAATGACATGGCAAAATATTGATTTTCAGTTTTCTGTTGGATTTTGCTTGTAAAATCTCTATAAGTAAGGGCTCACACGATGACGAGGGTGACCTCAGACATCCATTCTGGTTTGATGTGTCCTCCTTATGTTGTAGCAGCAAATTCCTCCTTGTCTTGTAGGAACTACTCAGCCACTAACTCCTTGAGAGGTCTTTCCTCCTTGCAGGGGTATCCACTGGGGTCTCTCTACTCTCCTGTGCTATCATTTGTAATTCACATATTGGCTTCACATTTGATAGAGAACTTCTCAAGATAGGTAAGCAGGGGTTCCCCCCCCCCAAGTTTATGTGCTTAATTCCAGCCCCTAGACTAGGTGTAATTATAGTTACTGGTTAGTGCTTGTGAATTGTTTGTTTGTTTGTGTGTGTGTGTGCGGTGCTTGGGATTGAACCCAGGGCTTTGTGCACTCGAGGCAAGCTCTCTACCAACCGAGCTATATCCCCAGTGTGATGCGTGTGAATTGAATGAATGATCATGAGAGAAATCATGAGCTTCCCAAAAAAAGGATTTTTGGAAGGATGCTTATTCTATTTGAGATTAGACAACCAAGGACAAGTCATATTCGCTTTGACACCAAAGCTGCTGGGAATTTCTATGCTGTAGAGCAGCAGAGGTGGAATCCAGAGCTTTTATAACTATGACATCTTAGTATCTCATGGATTGGGCAAGTTCTGGTAGGGAAAGGTGAGTCCTGGTGGGTATAGGTGAGTCTTTGGCCCACAGTGACTTCCGGGCCAACTCTATACCAGTATGGCTTTCCTTTAGCTTTCCAAACATGTGATGGTTCAATCCTTACACATTTATTCCAGTTTCTTGCTAAACTTTGGGTTTGTTTGTACCTTCAGCGTTGCCCTGAGCCCTAGACCACCTGCCTTGTCCTTTTGTCTCTTCACTGTGCTCAGGTACTCTAGGCAAACTATTGCTTTATTCAGCCATGATGAACAGACCCCCTGGAGACATGACAGCTACCACTCAGGACCTCTAGCTACAAGGCCAAGCACCGAGAAGACCAAATTTTTAAAATTCAATGATTTCTCCTGATTCATGACCTCTGATATTGCTCTTACCCATGGTCTAAGCCACAGCCATCTCTTCTCTCCTATAGTGTTAACTAACCTTAATTAAGTGAGTCACCCTTGGCACACTGGAGTTAGATCATTTCACGCTCCTACCCAAATCTGACAATGACTCACCATTTTTTTTTTTTTTCAGACAAATCCCAAATCCCCTCCCATGGGCTCTGAGGCACTAGCTGATGTGGTTCCCTTTCTGAAGGCTTCTCTTAATCTCCCACTCCTGGCTCTGCTTCTACTTTTCTGACTTATTTCTGTTCCTTAATCATGCTGCAGCCTCAGGCCTTGGCTTAAATTGTCTTCTCTTCCTGGAAACTCTTTCCTACATTCCAGGCAACTTGAGAGAACTCTGTGTCTGTGCGATGTATAAAAACAAAGATCTATATTTTGCCAGTGTTACGTATGTGTTCATTGATTAAAGTTGAGCTAGTCTTAGACCCAGGCTGAAAGAACAGCCAATATCTGAACATTATCAGTCTCATGGTAGAAAAAGGAAATATAGAAAAACATAAAAGAACCTGGCTCTTAAAGCTTCTTAGAAATGGTACATTAGTTCACTCACATTTCTTTAGCTAAAAACTGTGGTCAATTCTGATGTCAATTAGTCAGGGACTTAATCAATAAGAGATGTCAAATATGTTTTGCACAAGAATGTAGTCTATCATACTCCAAATAGCACCTTGACCAACTTCTCTCCTTCTTCAAGTTTTGCTGAAATTTCAACTACACAGCTAGGCCCACCATGTTTGATTAAACCACCTGCCCCGCCTCCCCTCCTTCCAAGCATTCTCACATTACTCATCACCTTTTAATTTTAAAGTGTACTTTTTATACTATTATTTTATTATTTTTAAAATGTCTTCTCGCCTTGCTAGAATATAAACTAAATGAGGTGAAGGAGTGGAACTATTTTTCCCTGTTGTGTCCCCAACTGGAATGACAGCACCTGGCCGTATCCTCCCTCCCATCTCCCCCCCCCCCCCCCCAACAGAGGAAGGAATGGCTTTGAATATGAACAGGGCTCCTAAACTATTTGAGTATTTGAATTCATGTACTTTTTTGAAATGTGAATATTTATGCTTCTGGCTGAATTTCTAAACAAAAGCTTACAGATACAGGATGATTGTGGAAAACACATTCAAGTTTATCTAGGTCAAATGAGGTGAGGATTTTTCCTGACAGGATCCTGGATGCTGGCTTTTATGCATTTAGAATCATGAATATTTGAAGGTGAAAGGTAAGTGACTCACCTGACATGGAAATTCAACCAAGAGATTTTTTTGGGGGGATGGGGGGCTGCCGGAAGGGGAAGAAAAGGAGAGGGAGAGAGCGGCAGCGGGAATGAGCCTGCCAGCTTCCGCTTAAGAAGGGTTGCTTTGGTGACGTGGCCGGTGGTGATTGGCTGGGTGACTCAGGACTGGGCAAGCGTACACTGTGGCCAGCGGGGATTGGTTGAGAAACTTTTGACTTTGGCGCCCTTTGGCTTGGCCCCTCGGGAGAGGAGGGGGAGGGGAAAGGGATTACGTGATGTTCTTTTCAAAAGACAAATTTAAGTTCAGCTGGAGAAACGCGGTGGGGGAAATAAAGCCAAAAGGCAAGGTCTCCCACACACCCAACAGAAGGTTCACAATAGACTGACCAGAACCACATTTTCTCTCTTCTACTGTTGATTGACTCTTCATAGCTACAATGACTCCAACTATTTCTCAAAGAGGTCAGGTTTCCACTGTGCCTGGTCCTGAGACCTGGACAGAGCCTAGTGAAGGAAGAGTGAGCACAAGGTGATGCACATTCTTCACTGTGCCAGGGATACTCTGGGAGGGCGTCTGGGAGGAGCATTCTTCTTTCCCTGTGCTCCAGGCTTGCCTCTGGTAGAGTGCCATCTCTGAGGGTATCTTACTTGGTGGGTACTGGGTTATGAAATTGATAGGCATGAGCTTAAATTCCAGCCCCACAAAATTATAGCTATGTAAACTGGGGAAAGTTTAACTTTTTGGAGCTTCAGTTTTTTTCATTTGTAAAATAGATAATAGCTTTCCAAATAAAGGACAGCATTTCTTCAGCAAAAACAAGAGATGAGGAGTGAATATGTCAAACTCCTAAGAGGGAATAAAGAAAATCTAGTAAATGTGTAAAGTTGAATAAATGTTAAAAGTTTAGTATTATTAAAATTATGCATGGTATTCAAGGTATATATTATACTATTAAAGGAATGAATTTGGAAATGGAAATACACTGTTAAAGATATGTGGGGAGGATGTTGTAGGGTTCAATGGTAGAGAACTTGCCTAGTATGCATCAGCCGTGGGTTCCATTCCCCGTACTCAAAAAAAAAAAAAATCTATGGAGGATTTTAGTGAGACTTTTTACTATTTAAATTGTGACCAAATAAGATCAAAAATGAAATCAGAAAATTGAAATGAAGGAAGCACATATTACTTCTTGAAATCAGAGGTTGCATAACAATGTGAGAGGGAGTAGAAAAAAAAGAAGCAGAAAAAGAGAAGATAGAACTATATAATAGAGAATTTTATTTACCAAACTTAGCAAATTTCCTGTTTCTTTCTGCCTGACTCTTACTACCACTTTCTATGCTGCAGTGATGGGAACATTTTGGTGACACCCAATAGCTATGACATGTCTTAGAAAGCAGAGCAAGAATACTGAACATGACCAGGATAGAACTGTTTCATGAAACAAAGTGATTTAACTTTAAGAATGTCGTCGTCGTCCAGGATCAAATTTTGTACTTAATTTCCTAGGAGTTATAACCAATGGGAATTGAGAACTCTTTTGAGAAGAAACAATTGTTTTAAAAAGAAAAAGAGCACTTGACCAGTCAAGAAACAGACATGGAAAGGAAAATGGCAGAGTGAAGGGTAAGATTGAACTGTAAAAATAAAACTTGGAAGCTACAAAAAACAAGGAAGGGACCAGAAACTTCAGAACAAAACATGTGCTGGAGTTGAAAGTAAGCAGAGTTCTAAGATCCTGGAAAGAATTCTAGAAAGAGAGCACGAGAAAGTGGAAATGTCTTGTGGAGGGGCTTTTTAAATTTTTTTTGTGTGTTTTGTTTTTACTTTAATATTGATAGCAAATATTTGAGTTGGGTACTATCCACGCTGACTTTTAAATGAGCAAACTGAGTTCTGGAGAGTTTTGACAACTTGCCAAGGGCTAACCCATGAGGTGTGATGGAGCTGGGGTCTCACCTAAGAAAAGTCTGACTCAGACATCTGCTTTGCCAACCAGACAAGTGCACAGTTGCCGACACGTGGTTATTCCATAGTTCTTTAGAGCTTTTTTTTAATTTTTTATGACTAAAAATCTGTAACCATTGGATAGCAATTCCCCATTTTCTAGCAACTACCATTCTACTTCCTGCTCCTGAGTTTGACTACTTTAGTTACCTCATAAGAGTGGAATCTTGCAACATTTCTTCTTTTGCATCTGGCTTATTTCAGGTTTATCCATATTGTAGCATGTGTCAGGATTTCCTTATTTTTTTAAGGCTGAATAATATTCCATTGTATGTATAGAC